GGAGGAAAGTGGATCCGGCTAGCTATAGGCCCATCAGCCTGACTTCTATCCTGGGGAAGGTCTTAGAAAAGTTTATTAAAGAGGCCATCTTTAATGGACTGGCTGATGCCAACATCCTAAAGGATAGCCAGCACAGGTTTGTTGTGGGTAGGTCTTGCTTGACCAATCTCATTTCCTTCTACAACCAGGTGACCTATCACCTGGACAAGGGAGAAGAGATTGATGTCATATATCTTGACTTCAAAAAAGCCTTCGATCTGGTATCCCATGATCACCTCTTGGCAAAACTGGCCAATTGTAGCCTTGGGTCCACCATGATCCGCTGGCTGAGAAACTGGTTCCGTGGTCGGACCCAGAGGGTAGTAAATGATGTCAGTCACTCATCATGGTGTCCTGTGACCAGTGGGGACCCTCAAGGCTCTGTCCCTGGACCCATATTGTTCAACATCTTCATTAATGATGTGGACATTGGAGTCAGGAGCGGACTGGCCAAGTTTGCCGATGACACCAAACTTTGGGGCAAAGCATCCACGCCAAAAGACAAGCACCTACATTGAACACCTTCAAGAGCAAATTGGATGCTTATCTTGCTGGGATCCTATGACTCCAGCTGACTTCCCACCCTTTGGGCGGGGGGCTGGACTCGATGATCTTCCAAGGTCCCTTCGAGCCCTAATGTCTATGAAATCTATGAAATTGCCCTGGATCATTGTCCTAATGCAATATCTACTTCACCTATAAGCCAATTCCCAAAAGCAAGTGTCTAAATACCTTTTTCTAGCCATTACAATTGGAGGCATGATGAAGAAGTGTCCTTGAGCAAGACATCAACTCAAGGCATGTGCATCACTTACAACCTGTGCATGCCTGTCCTTAGGCCCAGGGTACAGAAATGAATTATTGGGCAAATCTATAATCCTGCAAAGACTTCTGCACATGTTTAATTCAGTGAGTACTATGAGGAGTTTCAGTAAAATCAGTGGAATGGCCCATAGCAAGTCTTTGTAGAATCAAGGTCCGGGACCCAATTGAAAAATAATTTGCCATTTTTTAATTAATAAAAAATACTAGTATCTATCCCCTTGTGCACTAAAGTGCAGTGACAGAGCAATTTGTGTGTTTTGCTACAGATTCAGAAGCATGAGTTTGAGCTTTTTCCTTGCCTTACACTACAGTTGTTGCAACCACAAGTGGGACCTAGTTATTTGGCTCAGGGAGTAAAAGACAGCTGGAGATGATGTTAGCCATATTTCTGCTTTGACTATAAAAAGTAGAGTGCTTTAACCATACTAACCTACTAACCATCAGAGCTCAGGCAGACCTTGAGCACAGAGCATTATGGGACTTAGCTGATATTTGTAAAATACTTTGATCTCCTAGGCTGAAAGGGTCTGTGCAGTTGCAAAAGAGTGATCATATTTGTCAAAAATGATGTTTATTTCATTGGTTTTCATCTGTTTCATTAAAATAGCTTCCCAGGAATTCCGTCTTCTTTTTTCTTGTCAAGATTGGAAGTTTGTCTTTTACCTCCGAGGGCCAAATCTTCAGGTGGTGTAAAGCAGCAAAGCTGCACTGAAGCCTGTAAAACTGGTTTACAGCAACGGAGGATCTCACTCTAAAACAAAGTTGTTTTTATATTTAGGCCATCAGAAATACTACAAATTAAATTTACTCTGTGGCCTCTTACATTTGGTTTTAACAAGCTCTGCTGATTATGGATTTCAGTAGGGGGAAAATCAAATAAGCTGGGGAAAAAAATCCAATTTCCAAAGTCCAAACCTTGACAAAAGTAGTTCACACACCCATAGGCATCCAATGTTTCCATGGTTTCACTTCATGAGTGCCAATTTTTAGGGGGCCAAATCAGATATTAAGGCAGCCAAGAAAAAGAAAAACCTTTACCAAAAAGCCTTTTTGCAGTTCCTTTTTCCATTGTGCAGCTACTATAGCTGTTTTTCCCCTTGAAAAAAGCCCTAGAGTTTAATTTGGATTTGAGCACTCCAAAGCCTGTAGAGATCAAGAGGCTGATCCTGTTTCCATAAAAGTCAATAGCAAAACTCTCATTGACTTCCTTGGGAGCTGGATCAGCCCCCTGCTATGAGGCTGAGGAACAATGACTTGGTATGAATCATCTCTCCCCAACCTCCCCAGCCCCCCCAAAAATAATCTACCATAACCACCATGACGGGACAAATTTATTAAAAGCAAATAGTCATCTTGTGCTGCAAATCCTTCAGAATACAGTGTTTTGACTAAATGACATTTAGCAGTGTTGTAGCTCTAATGGTAAAGAAAACAGTAGCAGCTCAATACTTAAACCTTTGTCCCAGGGTGAATATCATTTTCAATATCCTGTAAAAATTCTTTGAAGTGTTTGTACCCAGGTTGCCCCAATGGATTTACTCAGAATTAGTTAATGGTGAGACAGCATTGAACTAAATTTATCGGTTATGGTCTCTCATGATCGCATAAAAAATAAAATTAAAAGGAATCCTCTATAGAATACTTTATCAGGCTCAGTAATGGCATCATCTCTGACAGCGAGGCAATAAAAGCATATTAGTGACCCCCCGATGAAACATGTTTACTGGCGAAGTCAGAGAGATTGATCATTCTATCTGTGAAGTGGCATTTTAGTTCTACACACTGTTACTGTTAGACACAGAAGCATACTGATTAGCTAATGTATGGCAAGAAATAAATGTGTGAAATAGGATATAATTATCAAATCCCACTCATTCCTTCTAGGAAATGTTGGAATGCATTCTGCTTGCAGACTGAGTTCCTGCCCTGCCATGTGCCCTACCTATGCTTCTTGTATTAATATTATCTCTATTGTTGTAGAACTGAAAGGTCACAATCCAATCACTGTTCTGCTAGGCCTCATACAGACGTAGTCTTTCCCCTGAAGAACTTACAGTTTAAATAGACAAGAAAGACAAGGTCTGAGAAGAGACAGAGAAGTGACTTATGTAAGGTAGTATGCAAAGCTAGGAAAAGAACTTGTCTGGTATGATATACTTATGCCAGTCCCCCATCCTTCCCCCTAAGCATTATTAAGGATTAAACTGTCAGAGCAAGATCTTTTTATCTTATTGTGCCACCCATTCTCCTTCTGAAATCACAGTCCACAGTAGCACTACAACTGTTTGAGGGCATTTGGTCTCATAGAATCTCAGTTGTCTTTTCATAACTTTTATGAGCTAACATCCAAATTTTACTCCTACCTTCCTTTGTGCACTCTCTCTCTCTCTCACACTCACACATGCACATCACTTCATTCACTGTTTAGAAAAATGGTGACTTTTTATTGAAGGTAGTGAAATGTGCATTGCTTTTTTTATTGCAAAGACCAGTTTAACTAAAAAGGACCTGTGTCATTAGAGAGTGGTCTATTCTTGTTCAGAACTGGCTTATTTTCACTTACTCCCAAAATGCATAAATATTATCTATATGTCCTGTAACATGTAACAAGAAGTGCAAAATGTTGAATCATAGAAAATTAGGGCTGGAAGGGACCTCAGGAGGTCATCTAGTCCAACCCCCTGCTCAAAGCAGGACCAGCCCCAACTAGAACATTACAGCCAGAAAGCCTTCTTCTTCCAAGTAGATTTTGTTTTTTATTGCATCTACATCACACCACTCTACCACTTAATGTTGTGAGTCATTTAGAGTTCTTAAGCAGTACTGTGAAGGGCATCAGCACAAAGACAAAAAGCTCTTACATGTCCTCATTCTTCTTGGAATCCACATTTCTCCTATGGGTCCATGGAATGACTGATGACTGAGAGGGTGGACCACCCATTCGCATGTCCAACAGTATGTAGCTGAGACTCAGCTCTGCATCTTCATCTCAATATCACAGTTCAGCTGTCCCAGTGCCTAGCTGAAATAAGCTCCTCCAAGAAATTAAACTCAATCCAGACAGAAAAGATACTAGTAGAAAAAGAAAACATTCTGAAGGAACATTTGAGAACAAAAGATCTCCATCCATGTGAAACATCAACTCTGTTCATGAAGTGGGGGTTTACCTTCTTGGTGCTCCTGGACGCCCAAGAAAAGCCTTCTTCTATTTATCTCTGATCAGGAGACTATACCTGTTCCTGTCAGGTGATAATCAGTTAAGCACGTATTTGTCACCCCTGTGTTCAATTATTATGCACCACTATCCTGGGGATGATGGAAAGAAAATGATAATGATGCTCCAGATGGTCACCCCAGCATCACAGACTGATAAGAGCACATCAACTGAGTACATTGCATGCCATCCTTTATTCCTTGTCTGCTACCACAGTGCATCAGCTCCATCTCTCACATACTTGCCTTGGATCCTTGTCTGCTAATTGAACTAGCTCTGGTTGAAAACACTGATCTTCATGACCCTGAACAGATTTTGCCTTGATTATTTTGGAGACCGTAGCCTTTCTCTTGAATGATGCTCTGTAAGAATGCTCACAGTGAACAGGAACAACAGAGTTAACCATTGCAAGATTTTAAATAATGAAGACAAAGCGTTCTAAATAGCTGGTCCAAGGCAGTGTGTAGTCCTTGTAGAAGACAGGGCAGAGTGGCACCTGAGAGACAATTTAGCATAGGTTGATAAAATGAGTTGTTACCTTTGAGAGCCCATCCCTTTCCAAATCCATTAGTCTGTAAGGGGTCACCCTGCCCTACTTTTTCTTCACTTCAGGTCAACATTACTAAGCACCTCTGTAGTTCATGTTGTTTCCAGCATCAGCTGTAAAACCCATGCTTTTTCAACACCTTTTCCTCAATAGCACTTTCAAGAGTCGTTCTGTGCAGGGTGACAGAAAAAAAAGCAAGCTAATGAAGGAAAAAAGGTAGAGGAAATCATACAAAATTCAAGTACCCATAAAACAGATTCCAAAGAAGGGTAAGGAAAAAGCATAATTTTGACCATTTATATACCCAGCTTAGTGATTAGTTACCACCAAGATAAGCACATGATAAATATCTAGATAGATTTTGAAGGGTGGAATCGTCCATGATGCAAAGATTTAAAAGGTATTTCCATTAGTGAAACTGGCCCTTAGCAACAATATATTCAGAGCAGGGAATATGGTTCAGATGTGATACTGAAGTGTGAGGTCAAAAACTACAGAAAACATGAGCAATATTTCTAAATAGACATTTGCTACAGACTTCAATGAGGTTTTTGCTCTAATACCTCTATTACCATAAGACAATGTTGCACAGAGAAAAGCATTTCATCCTTTACAAAGGGAGAGGTTGCTGGCTCAGACAAGTGTCATTACTAAAGGCGATTGTTCACAATGCATTCTAAAGCTTCATTAAGTGCCTACCTGACACTAATATTGGCCCTACTTTGTTCAGGCACCAGAATACAGATCCTTACCTGACTGCTGTTTTTGATTTATGATGCAAAGATCCCTTTTTAACCTACCTACCTCTCTATCCACATCTTGTTGCCTGGTAGACGAGAGTCAATGGGTGCATCTACACGTGAAATTAACACGATGCAATAAACTCTGGAGCAGTTCAAGCTGGAGTCAGCTGCTCCCAGGCACAGCATCTATGTGTGCACCCAGGATAGCAGCAGTCTGAGCAGGGGCAGAGGAGCTCCAGGCTGGCAGCAGGTTCAGATTGTTAGCCCCAGGATGCAGGTGGTAGTGTCAGATGGTGGAGGGGCTGGCTGGGGTACAGGGGTTCTCAAGTACGGCAGGCGGCCCCTGCACTTTAGCACCCTCGTGCCCCAGCGAGCCTGTCACTGCTTACACAGGTCTTTCATCACACTTAATTACTCTGCCATAAGATAGTACTGTCCCTGACAGTGGTATCTTACAGCTGAGTTAATCTACTGTGCCCTAATACTGGCGGACATGTAAACTGTGTCGCTTTACTGCTGAGCTAATTAGTCAACTCTGCAGTAAAGCACACGTGTAGATGCACCCAGTGTGTATTATAACATATTAGAAGTCATCTAAATGACAGTAAGCATTGGCTTCAACAATGCTCCATGATTTTCAGGTAAAAAAAAAAGGATTGAAAGCAAAACATAGATTAATCATTTAGTTGGAACTTGTTCAGTCAGAAGAGAGCAGCAAGGATAGATAAAGGCAAATCTGAAACTCTGTTCAAGATTCCAAGTCAACAGATCAGGCATTAAATCCCTCCCTGCTCCAACTTCCTAGAAAAAAAAATGACCAGCAATTAGAGGGACCAGTAATGTTGTATAGCACTTTCTTCAATTCAAGGTGATTCAGGTTCAGTGGTTAACATAAAGACAGGAAAACAATGCCTGGTTTTGGGATTTTCCAGAAAACCCAATGCTCCTCTTCTAATGAATTTCGGTGCAGTTTGGGTGTCTTCTGTTGTAATGCAAGGTAAACTACAGACACCCACCCTGTGCATATTTATGTGACCTTGGGAAAGTCAGGTAATGTTGTTGTGTCTCACAACACTCTAGCCAGGATCAGGGTACTTGGAACTAAGTAACTTTGTTTGCAGTGAGTGAAAAATCAAAGATTTATCCCTTGGGGGCTAAAGTGTGGAAGATAAAGAAATCAGGTAGGTAAAGGTAATCAGGGGATAGGGCTGAAGATTCAAAGAGGAGGGGACCAAGGAGTCCACTTCCGAACTCTAGGCAGGAAGCCTGAATTTTAGACTCCTGATGGTCCTCAAAGCCCTCCCACTAGTCCCTCCCTGTCCAGTTGTATTCATTAGTCCTATCCAGCCTCTTCTTTAAAATCTTCCATGGAAGGAGATTCTAAAGCCACACCAGACAACTTGTTACATTGTCTTAAAGTTTTCAAAGGTAGGCCACATCCACATGAGCATGGAAGTTTGGTTCCCTCGGGACAGTTAGCAGTGGTGGACCTTGTGCCACTGCTAGTTGTCCCTAGGGAATGCCTGGGCCATGTGTCCTCTGGTGTGCAACAGGTTATCCTGGGTGGCCGCAGCAGCCTTACCTGGGGTCCTGGGGGCCTCCTGGGGCTGC